AAAATAATTTATAAATATTATAAAAAATATTTAAAATATTTTTAAACATTTTTTTTTGTTTTTAAGAAAATATCAATTTTTCCCAAAATTTCCGTTTTTTTCCAATTTTTCCAGGAAAAAAACAGGGTTTTTTTCCGACACTCAATTTTTCCGGAAATTTTGAATCTCTAGTCAAAAGTAAATAATATTTAATGACTATTTGTTTAAAAAAATATATAAAAATAAATATAAGGTATTAAATTGTTATTTAAGTAATATTTCATAAATAATTAATTAAAAAAACGGTATAATAGATTGGGATTCATGATTTACCTTGCGCTAAAGGTACGTATGGCTGAGCGCTCCACACTCTGCGCCCTCTATATCAAAAACGATTAGACGTATAAAAAAATGTTTTAAACAAAATTTGTAGAGAATTTTATTCTCTACAACTTGTATAATAAATCCAAGTACGATAGGAGGCAGAGAAAAGGAGATATTCTCAAAAAACTGATTTTTGCGACCTTTGACCTTGAATATCTAAGGCCGCTCACACGTTGGCATATGTGACTTTTGAGACAACATTTGTAATGCTAAAATAAAGGTTTGTACAAAAATTCAGCTTATTCCGTTAGATTCCGAGGTGAAATGCCTAGATGACTGGACTAGTACAGTCATCTTAGTCAAAAAAAGGGATCAACCTCGGAATCTAACGGAATAAGCTAAATTTTTGTGAAAACCTTTATTTTAGCATTACAAATGTTGTCTCAAAAGTCACATATGCCAACTTGTGAGCGGCCTTAGATATTCAAGGTCAAAGGTCGCAAAAATCAGTTTTTTAAGAATATCTCGTTTTCTCTGCCTCCTATCGTATTTGCATTTATTATAAAATTTGTAGAGAATAAAATTCTCTACAAATTTTGTTTACAAAAATTTTTTATACGTTGAACCGTTTTTGAGATAGAGGGCGCAGAGTGTGGAGCGCTCAGCCATACGTACCTTTAGCGCAAGGTAAATCGTGAATCCCAATCTATTATACCGTTTTTTTTTTAATTAATAATATAATAAAATAAAAATAAAATTTAATACCTTATACTTATATTTATTTTTATTTTAAATCAAATATATTTTATCTTCATATATATCTTATATTTTAATTTAATTTTAATGAAGGATAATTGGATCGTAGTAGGAAAAAATGTTTTTATTTATATCAATATTATAATTATTATTAATCTTTATCTTCTTCATCCTCATCTTCTTCATATTGGCCAGCAATTTCAGACTCATTCTCATCATCACTCTCCTCGTTATCATTGACATTAATTGTCATATATTTAAAAACTTACTTATATCGCGTTTGTACTTTGCAGATTTACGAGGTACAGTTGATGACGTTGAAGGTTCAGTCTCTTCAAGGCGACGTTTTGCTGCTGCAATTTTACTATAGTACGCTATAGCGTACAATTTTCGACACTCAATATGAACGTTCACAGAAGTCAAAGTATTTAGGTAGTTTATGTTTATTTCTCTCAATAATTGCTTCTTTTAAAGTCTTTATACCGCGCACAAAAGTCACAGAATCACCTTCAGAAAGTAACTTATTACAAATAAAACACAAATCAGCCATGTTAACCTTTAAAATATTACGAATATTATCTGTCACAACCCTAGACCTATACCTAGGGTCACAACTTGCTTTAAATATAGGTATACCCAACCTTTTTATTTATAGCAAGCCCGCTATAGTATTTCCAGGTCTGTTATTTTAAAAGCAATATCTGGATCCAAAAGATGACCAGAGACATATTCAAGGCAAATTCATTTTATGTCTTTTCTTCTTAAAATGCATTTATCATTAATAAGAATAACATTAGAATATATTTAGAATGATTCACTTCATTATTTAATTATTTGTATGTCAAAAGTAAGTAATATTTAATGACTATCTGTTTAAAAAAAATATATAAAAATAAATATAAGGTTTTAAATTGTTATTTAAGTAATATTTAATAAATAATTAATTAAAAAACGGTATAATAGATTGGGATTCATGATTTACCTTGCGCTAAAGGTACGTATGGCTGAGCGCTCCACACTCTGCGCCCTCTATCTCAAAAACGATTAGACGTATAAAAAAATTATGTAAACAAAATTTCTAGAGAATTTTATTCTCTACAACTTGTATAATAAATGAAAATACGATAGGAGGCAGAGAAAAGGAGATATTCTAAAAAAATTGATTTTTGCTACCTTTGACCTTGAATATCTAAGGCCGCTCACACGTTTTCATATGTGACTTTTGAGACAACATTTGCAATGCTAAAATAAAGGTTTGTACAAAAATTCAGCTTATTCCGTTAGATTCCGAGGTGAAATGCTAAGATGACTGGACTATTTATAATTTTGACCTCCTGATGTGATTCAGTTGTCAAATTTAAGTTTAAGATAAAGCAAAATCACCAAGAATCAAAATTCGAAAACAATTCCCGGCTGTTAAATGTCTCAATAAAATGCCTTTGCCAATGCCATTTGGGGATTCATTTCTTGGGAGAAATTACTGCAATTTGTTTAAGTGGTTAGGATAATGTTACATAAATTACATTTATATTGCGCACTAGTGATAACTTATTACTGATATGTACCTACCTAATTGGTAATAAAGTTAAAAACAAAATTAGTTTGTTAATTTTTGAAAATTTTATGCGAAGATATATTTATAATGTAATGTAAAAATGTAACAAACAATATCAATAATAACTTTCAATATTTCGTTGGCCTTCCCCTAACCCGTAATAATTCGTTAATCCTCCTGGGCATTCCCTAGACCAAGTTCCTTAGAAATTCCTGAGGTATGGCTTCCCATTCTTCCTGAATCGAATTTACCAATTCATCCAATCTTTCCATGAACCTTTCCTCTCTTTCATCTTCAGTTTCATCCTGCTCCACACATGCTCAATAGAATTCATATCTGGAGACAAAGGTGGCCAATTCATTCTCTCAATATCATGGTCCCTTAAATACTCATTTACGATATTAGCGCGATGCGGACGGGCATTGTCGTCCACCAACACCAAATTATTGGCATTTAATTTTCATCAATTGATCCTTGATTTGATCATTCAGTGACATGATAATAATGTACTAAATATGCAAAACACAGTAAAAAACAGTAGAATCCAGCAATTAGATTTTATTGAGACATTTAACATCCAGGAATTGTTTTCGAATTTTGATTCTTGGTGATTTTGGTTTTATCTGAAACCTAAATTTGACAATTGAATAACAATCAGGTCAAAATTATGAAGAAAACATGTCACGAACGTAAATATTGGTTCAGGTTTAGTTTTCGAAAATTTTCACCAAAATGTAATTTTGAACAAGTGGTCTTTGCTTAGGTTCCTCTGAAAATAATTTTGTTGCTTATCGCTTGTTCAGAATTATTCAAGGAACAATCTTTCACCATCTTATCTTTTTGTTCTTAAAAAGGCTGAGTGTATTGTCTACAAAAAAGCATCAAATGTACTCCATTGTAAAAAAAATCATATTTTTGTTGCTAAGATTCCAATTCGAAAAATTAAAAAATCGTTTCAAGGTAAGACATAATACTTCATTATTTCAAAGTAAAAACGAGAAAAAAATATTTATTTTACAAACGGGGCTTGGATGAAGTTATTCAAATTTTTCACTGTTTTACATATCACCCTGTAGTAAATTTACTTGAAAAACCGTGAGCTTCATATCGATAGCATAAATTGTCAGATAATGGGGCTAGCAGACATCACAAACCAAAATAAAATCGTTCTAGAAACAAAAAAGTTATGTCGTTTTGAAAACGAAATTTTTGGTCGCGACACATTGAGTGGTGCGAAGTTTTGTAAAAAGCATAATGCACAAAAAAAGATTTAACTCCAAAAAATGTTATTTTATTTAATTTTATTCAAAATCAATTTTTCTTATAAAGTCTTAATAAGTCCCATTTTGTAGCCTAATAAACATAAAAATATCTAAAAAAAACAATGCGAAAATCATGAAGTTAAGCTTTTGCTTTATTAAAAGAAGCGATTTTTGGCTAACCCTGTATATATTAAATGATGTGCACAGCACAATCCACACAACAAGGTCTGTTCTATCTCATGCTAAAAATACTAAAAATCACTGCAACACTGCACAGAGTTTAACGGCGGCCATTTTTGTTGTTTACAATTATTGTGCTTTGGGTTTGTGCTGTTTAATAATTGTTTTAAACGTTGGGTTTCTTACAGAGGCACTTGTAAGCCTCAAATAAGGCTTTTAAGTGCTAAGGACAACCATTTTACTCCTCTTTTATAATAAATATACCTTATTCAGTTTTATGACAGCCCTGATAGAAAAAAGTTTATTTTTTACAATAGAGGAGTAAAATGGTTGTTCTTAGCACTTTAAGGACTCTTTTAAGGCTTACTATGAGGAACACAACGTTTAAAACGATTATTAATCTGTATAAACAGAGCACAAACCCAAAGCACAAAAATTGTAAACAAAAATGGCCGCTAAACTGTGCAGTGTTGCAGTGATTTTTTGTATTTTTAGTACGAGATAGAACAGACCTTGTTGTGTGGATTGTGGTGCACAGTATAAAAAAGTATTCTCCAAATCTCCATAACAATATACTCCAATATTTTAAAAATCGGTGTACAAATGTGTACTCTGTCAGAGGTAGACTTTAAGATAAACCAAAAATTAAAAAAAAAATCATGCATTTTCAAAAAATTTCGAATAAAGGAGCAGCTAGTATTTTGGTAAATATCATTTTAAAGTTAACAACAAGAAACTGCAATCAGTTTTTTACGTGACTTAAACTTCGTTCAGGCACACCGTGCCATATGTAAAATAAATCTGCTTCCACATAACAATATAAATTTTTTACTGAAGGTAAAACATTTATGAAAATTAAATTAAAATAATTCTCTCCATTCAAAACCGACTTGCTGCAGCATGTATACATTGCAATTATGTTACAAACAACTTCTTTGTTTCAGCTTTGGTCGGTTCACTGGCAATGGGAACAACATTCCTGGTGTCTCCCGTATCTGGAGTACTAACAGACTGCATAGGCATACGAATGACAACCTTCCTGGGCGGTCTCATAGCCTCGAGCGGCATGTTCCTCTCTTCCTTTTGCGTGGACAACGTCACGCCACTCAGCTTCACCTACGGCGTGATGTACGGATTGGGGGGCGCTCTGGCGTACACGCCCTCGCTGGCCGTGCTGGGGCACTACTTCAAGAGATATTTGGGCTTCGTGAACGGCCTAGTCACCGCTGGAAGCTCGGCCTTCACGATAGCAATGCCGTACTTCATCGACGCTTGCATTCAACGCTTCCAGATCGAGTGGACCTTAAGGATTTTGGCTATGCTATCGGGGATGATAATGTTATTCGCGTTTTTGTTTAAGCCCATTAAGAAGAATGTTAAAGTTAAAAAGGTGGCATTATCGGATATTTTTAACGTTTCTGTTATAAAGAATTTAAAATTCGTAATTTGGACTACTGTGATAGCTATTTCTTTATTCGGTTACTTTGTGCCTTATGTATATATTAACGATTTTGTGGAGAAAAACTTTGATAAGGACAACGATGCAAAGTTACCAGTACTCTGTATTGGTATAACTTCGGGAGTTGGTAGACTAATATTCGGATACATTGCAGACAGACCAAGAGTAAACCGCATATTCCTGCAACAAATATCATTCCTCAGCATAGGAATACTAACGATCCTTTTGCCATTCTCATCCCATAATTTTTCGGCCTTATTGGCGATCGTCCTGGGCATGGGTCTCTTCGATGGTTGCTTCATATCGCTCCTCGGTCCGATCGCGTTCGACATATGCGGCAAAGACGGGGCTACTCAAGCAATAGGATTTTTGCTGGGCGTGTGTGCTCTACCTCTCACCATAGGACCCTACGTCGCCGGAAATATGCTGGATAATAAATACTCGTTCACGGTGATATTTATTTTGGCTGGTATCCCGCCAACAATAGGATCGGTAGCCATGTTCCTAATTCAATGTGTTAAACAGAAAAAACAAAACGTTTTTCCGATGGGAACTCGGGAAACGCAAGAAGGACTTATTACAGGTAGGTTGCTAGATAATTACAGTACATCTATAAAGCTAGAAAACGAGAAAAATTGTAGCAAGCGAGGCTATGAATACTCAATTTTGTAATTTTTTGTGTGATATTTTACCGAATAGTCAACTGTTGTGATACCTTTTATTTCTATAGTTTTAGTGATACTATCTAAAATGAATTAATCAAAAATGACTAATATTTAGTGGCTGCTTTTTAACTTGTACCATGGTTAACCATGGAATACCATGGTATACATCCAATTCTTATGTAAAATTGTCCCCTGAATCCGAAAATATCGTCAAAAGTTAAAAAAGTAGAACAGTTTTTAAGCTATAGTCAATTTTTCATTTAATATGAAATTGACTATATCTCAAAAACTGCTCCACTTTCATAACTTTTGACGGTATTTTCGGATTCAGGGGACAATTTTACATAATAATTGGCTGTTAAATTTTGGAATACCATGGTATTCTATGGTTGACCATTAGGGTGGTCTTTAAAAATTAAATTTTTTGCGACGCCCCCTAAAAAGCTTCTTTTTGATGTAAAAACACTGGGAAATTTTTTTAAATAAAAACAACACGTGTTTTAAGACGATCTAAGTTATTTTTTTCGTATAATCATGTTTTTTGGGAGTTTTTTATGAAAAATAAAATTGTATTCTAAATGTAAACAACTATAGAACCCAAATCAATAAAAAAACAATAGTTAATTAAAATAACAATGGACAAAAATTTAAATTCAAAATTTTTCCCAGTTGATTTGGTCTATTAAACAAAAAAAATGAAAGATATTCAAATTGATATTTTTAGATTTCTTCACTCCAAGGTGAAGTTATTTCATTGTTTGCCTAAGTGCTGCCTGCAAAGGCTCCCCTTCAAATCAATCAATCAATATTTCATTGTTAATAATTTTTAAATCTCAAAAAAATTATTATTCCATATTTTCAGAAAAGATATGATTATACCAAAAAATTAACTTAGATAGTCTTGAGGCACGTGATGTTTTTAATAAAAAAAAAAATCCCCAGTGTTTTTACAACAAGCTTTTTGGGGCGTCGCAAAAAAATTAATTTTTAACGACCACCCTGGTACGTCCATGGTACAAGTGAAAAAGCAACCACTAATAACTATTAAATTAGTCATTTTTGACTAATTTATTTTTAGAGAGTAAATAAATAATTTTGTTAGGATTTTATTTTTTATAAAAAAATTTAGCTAATACACTATTTTTATATCTACCTAGTTTATAAAATACATAATTATCAAATCAAGTGAAATATTTGCTCAATATTATTTTTTAAGTATTTCTTTTAACAAAATAGTTTGCTTATCGTGTTTGTTATTTATTACCATTTCCGATACACAGAAATACATACATATGTTGATCATTGTTCAAATAATTATTTAGGTTGTGGTTTTTTAATCAATAGTCTCTTATAACACTGTGCGATAAAATTTTATGATAAAAATAGTTTTGTTTAATATAAAAACCCATTATAATTATTATAATATTATTAATAATAAAATTATTAAATTTTTTTGTAATACCTACTGTATCCAGGTCCAAACCCAGCTTTTTTGTTGTTGCAAAGTTATTCATATTATTATTATCATCATCATTTTTATTCGCTATAGATTGCAAAATTGCGATGTTGTTAACTAAAATTGCACATATTTTATTTAATCTAAAAAGGTATACTTGGATAGAACATTTAAAACTATTACTTAAATGGAAATGCACAAAAATACCTTATTTTGCTGCATTGAGCTGTGACTTTATGGCGTTTTAGTCACAGGCTGAAGTTGGATTTATTATAAATGGCGAAAAAGTGGGATTAAATTCGTCACATATCAAATATTTATGAATTAAAATTGGCTTTAAATTCTTATTTCTGTTCGTCGTAGATTTATAGTATGTATGCAACTCGTTTTATAAACTTCTCTAAACACTCGTTTTATTAAACGCTCGCTCGCAAGCTTTGCTCGTGCCTAATAAAACTCGTAACTAAAATGGCGTTTATAAAACTTGATACATAATTTACTATTATCTACTCTGAACCGCGGAAGTAATGAACTCATTATTCACGTTGTTGGGCTTCAGTGATTGGCCGATTTCAATATTCACTGTGATTTGAACCAATCGGGTTTTAAATTGAGAGAAGACGACTATAATAACATTTAAAATTGGTAAAAAGTGAGATTAGTTATTTGACAGATGTGAGATTTTATTTTTGAAAATCATTTAATTATCTACTTATTGAAGTAGATAAAGTATAGTTTTACACTCGAGATTATTCTCATTATTCACTCGGATAATTTAACAGCCTGCATTATCTCGTATAATAATAATATTTCAGCAAAGTCCAGTTAAGTAACATGTTCAGAAATGAAAAAATCCGCTATTTAAGTATTTCCTTGAAAAATAATCTAGGTAGGTACTTAGAATGGGCGCCCATAAATTTACTTTATTTCCACTTTCTTAGTAAATGACATTTTATAGGTAATATTTTACGGGCTTGTATCGAAAACCTGTAAAGTTTTACACCCTTGTAGAAAAGCAATTTATGAAATAAAATGTCCCATTTGACACAATAATTGAAATTTTAAATTTCAAAATCGTTATCTAAAGGTGAAAATAAAAGTTTGTACGTTTCACGCTTTGCAATTAATCTTTACTACGCTCGCCCGTAAAGATCTTTGTCAAACTTTGTAAATGAATCGATTCATTTACAAAGTTTGACACGTAAATAACTATAATAAGTACATTTATAAATTTATTTTTCCGTGTAACTTTTTACAAGCGCGGTTGTTTTAAGTGCCATTTTGACAATTTTTATTTAATAGCGATGGCATTTTACCACAACAACCTACACCTAAGTTTTGAAAATTTCATAAAATTCGGAAAAAAATTGCTTACTTGACAATATTTTAAATTTTAAATATTGCCGAAATTTGGCTAAAACACGATTTTATTTCGTTAAAAACATGATTTATTTGACAGTTTTATTTGTCATAAAACCATTAATTTTATAGAATTATTTTGAATTTTTGCACCTTTAATATGTACTTTTCCTCGATTTAAAGAATATAAATTAACCTAGAAACCATGCTAGAAACAGATCTTGTAGTCATTCGTAACATTCGAAGCGTTTTAAATCTTGCGGTTTTTAAAACGCTGTAGAGTTATGAAAAATTGTTTAAGAAACGTAGGATCGTAGTAACTCACACAAGCTCGTATGCGTAGATAGGCAATAAAAAAAGCATGTCACAAGCCCATTGCGATAACAAACCTAATTTTTTATAAAATTAATCTGAACAATAAATTAATTAATTTTACCATTGGTATTTGAACTGAACCCTGATTTTTTCCAATTTTGTTCAATTACATTTCATGTTTTAAATAAAAATTGTATTTAATAATAATTATTGTTATATCTAGTAGATATTATCTACTAGTTATTTTATGTTAATTTTATTTATTATACAGAATTATGCAGAAACTGCACCAGATATACAGCGTTGTAGGAGGGGTATAAAAAATTGTTTTTTTTATTTTATTTTAATGCCTTAAAAATATTTTTCTACTTCCACCTTTAAAACGACCATTATCGTACCTGTTTAAATGACACCAAGTGACCTTTTAAATACACATTGACAAGTTGTTGCTTTACGGCATTTTAGTCACGGGCTGAAGTTAGCAACAGGTTTTTATTCACGTGCTGAAGTTAGTTTTAAGTTTGTTGACAGTTGTCAAATGTCATACAATCGTTAAAATTAAGTGCCTTTCTTGTAAAATAATACTAAATGTGAAAATTATTTTATTATCTCAATACAAAAGTATAGTTTCTCAACGCCAATATTTGAAATGTTTATATGAACATTGTAGTGACCTTTTAATTTCGCCGGCAGTAAACTATAATTTAAATTCGGGCACGGACTCCACTGTAAATTGCTCATAAAACATTTTCTTTACTTTCACTGTAAAAAACGGTCCATTTTCAAGAAATACATTTCGATTTATAACCTTTATAATCTGTGTTTATAAAATATAAAAATTTGACATTTGACGGTGACACACAGATTCCCCTATTGTTTCATAGATGGCGCTCTATAAAAATATTTGATTGAAATAATTTTAAGATAATTATAAGTATTTGTCGTAGAAAAAGTGTAGTATGCACCTCGTTTATAAACTTTTCTATACACTCATTAATTTAAGTACCTAAATTAAATTCGTGTATAAAATGGCGTTTATCAAACTTGATATATAAATTATAAATAAATAATAGTATATTATGTAACATTTATATGAAAGGATTAAACACAATTTTATATGGACGTTTTATTAAGAAAAAAAAAATGTTTGATAATAACAAAGTTATGATGATTTGGTTGGGTTTTCTATCATAAACTTCATCTGCATGTCTCCGTTATCTCGTTTTTTTGTGCAAAGTAAAAATACGTTAACCTTTATTGCTTTATATTGTAGTTAAAACATTTTTGTTTAGCAACAAAAACGCCTTTACGTATTTTTAACGGCGATATGTAAAATAGCTGCTAGATGCCTTCTTTATTTTAAATGAAGTGCTTGTGAAAACAAAAACTTGTGTAAAAGATCGATAAAATTTATAGTTTTTTTGGCCAACATTATATTTCTTATAAAAATCGATTTAGTGATTTCCTAATTAAACTTAACCGTTTAATGGGAATAAATCCTAATAATTAAATATCGGGGTTAATTACTAATACGACTAATATTCGCTAATTACCCGGTCTTTAAAAGATGTAACCGAACAATCAATCTAATAATAGACACTTTTATCTATTGTAGTATTCAATTGAAACAATTATAGTACAATTGGTTTGACGAATCTACGACTAGACAGTGGTAGGGCCAAAAAAACTCGGTCTCAGTCTTAAAATAACATTCGAATTACTTAATCAACTTTTTTTCTAAAAAGTTACCATTTATTTTTTTATCTTTATTATGTGGTTTTATATTTAAAAAATGTTAAACATGGCTAAATAGGGAAGGTCGAGAAAAAATGCGACCTAATTATTAAATTTAAGATTCTTTATTTATATTATGTCGTGTGGGGGGGGGCACCTGACCTCGAAAAAAAAATAAAAAAATGAAGAAATGCTATTTAAATATAAAATAAAAGGTGTAACACAAAACATGGAAAAAAATGTATGCTGGGTTTTTCGTTTCCAAGTTACATGGTGTTAAAAAATGTAATTTAGTTTACTGCCGGCGAAATCAAAAGGTCAGTACAACAAAATATAAACTTTACAAATATTGGCGTTGAGAAACTATTTAATACTTTTGTATATTTATATTAATAAAATAAAATAATTATCACATTTAGTATTATTTTCCAAGAAGGGCAATTTATTTTAACGATTGTATGACATTCGACAACTGTTAACTTAAAACACACTTTGTCAATGTGTATTTAAAAGGTGACTTAGTGTCGTGAAAACATGTATGATAATTAAATAAAATATAACTAAATTTAAAAAAAATCTCCTTGTAGGTTTAAAAAAAAACCCGCACGTAGTGCACTGGCTTGGTCTATTGTATACCAACGTGGCACGTTTTCAATAAACATAATTACGAGTCGTTTGTCTTGATACCGCGCAAATTTATATTTATTTGTTGACACATGGACCGGCAACGCATATCATACTTTTAAATAAGTAAGTAGGTACCTACGTTTTATTAAAAATTTATCGATTCTCTTGTAAGTATATCAGTAATTTCAAAGATATTAAGAATATTAATAGTAGATATAACAACATTTTATTTACATGTCTTTATTTTATCTAGGATTGTATAAATGATTTTTAGTGTATTAAAATTTAAGATAATTTATTATTATAGTAGCGGTTTTCCATTTCCTTCATAAACAAATTATTGATTTAGGTAAATTGATAATATATATTGGGTATTATCCAGTTTACCAAAAATTGTGTTTTTAAATATTGGTCTAAAATATGAAATTATTTCTTATAAAAATTTGTATATTATATTTTAATAATGATGTAGATTTTCTATTTATAGATACACAAATTATATGCAAATTTCCTATTGCTATTATCAAATTTTACTGCGCATTTATTGCTCAAGGCGTAAAAAGCATATGTTATTTATTTATTACATTTTTACATTTATTTGGCAGTCGTTTTACAGGGTATCATTTTAAAATCGTAAAAAACTCATCAAAAGTAGTCCAAAATACCTAAATTTTAAAACATTAAAGGAACTTACTAAAACAAGAAAAACAAAAAAATTTATAGTTTTATAAAAAAACAAACATAAATAATTGACATGTATTATTTATTTTAAGTATAAAAATCTTTAACAAAAACTATTTAAATATAATACTTTTTGGTTTAGGTTCACTACTTAATGACGGGTTAATATTTTAGGGCATTTTATAAAGAAGTTTATATAAACCCCAGTTTATAAAAACTTTTCTTCATACAATGAGCTGAGAAATTACATCCTGAAATATTAGCATGTATAAATGGTTCAGGTTCAGTCTTCATTATCTATATTAATCATATCAGTATCAGTCGTTTGTTTAAATATTTACACTTCTTGTTTACCAATTTTGCGGACTTCATTAATGTACCCTCAAATTTAAGGGTGCTTTATAAGCCAGATCATATACAAAAAAGGCCAGGATTTCGAAGTCCCACAATTTCTTAAAATTGAAGACTTTAAATATGCTAGATTTGGCCATATAAAATAAAAATTTTGATAATACATTTCTAAAACGTTAAATAATTAGGTTTTAAAAATACAGTTTGGCCAAATTTATTTTTGATAATATTTTTAAAATGTTTTATTTGGACAGCGAAAAATTTATCATAACATCATTTGTATGCCAAAGTTTTTTTTATCAATAATAATAGTTTTCTGAAAACGCCTTGTTTCAACGCGGAAACCTATGTAAAGGCATTGGAAGATTATAAGGATTTGTTTACTAGTATACTACCGGTCAGTCAACTTATTACGACAAATGCATCATATTTCTAGTGGGTAATTAAATACGAAACGTAAGATTGAAATAAACATAATTTTGTAATCGCAAGAAATAGTATGTTGTGCGAGAGGAGATTTCTCGTGCGGCAACACGCGAGTGGAATCTCCTCTTTTGACCAATAGTCGCACAAAATATTTTATTCAACTACCGCAAGGAATTTAAAGCCAATTTTATTTGATTTTTATGTGATATTTATCAGCATATTTAACCTCATTTTTTTTTAATTTTAACTTTAAAAAGTTAAAAAATAAGGTTGTTAAATAAATAATATTTTCCAGTAAAGAAATAATTTTTTTTTTTAATTATTAAATTTTAAAACATAAAAACCGTACATAAAGTTAATTAAGTTACCTATATTATCCCGGCGCATTCGCCATTTTTAATAAGTAAATGTTTTTTATAATTATTTTAATTAAATGGCAAATGGAAAATAGTAAAAGTATACCTACAGATTAATAAATAATTTATCATTATTAGCGATAATAATGCATTATCAAATTATAATTTGATTTATGCAAGTATTGGCACAAAAAATATAACGTTAACATTTTTCTGCCAATACTACTTGTTTCTATACCTACAAGGCAAGATACATACACCTACAAGGTGTCACAAAATTATTACCCATTTTTATAAATAAACAATTGTTTAGAAAATAATAAATTTAATAAATACAAATTTTAAATTTGTATAAAAATATTTTTTACTTAATTAAGGTTCAAAATGAAAACGGGGCATGCCTATTTCCCAATGTATCCTAAATTTTATTATAAGCAACGTAAACACGAATTAACAAAATAATTATTCTACACACAGTAAGAAATGATGGTAAAATTACGGATAAAAATATGTAATATTTACATAAAAAATATGGTGTTTGAAATAAACGCATAAATTATTACGGTTAATGAGTAACTTTACCGAATATATTCTGTAAAAGGTAAATATTTTACAGAATAAAACGTTGGCTATTCTGTGGCCAACGTAATATTCTGAAATGTTTTCTTACTGTGTAGAGTATATTTGCAAGATAAATTTATTAAAAATGTTATGTTTTGGTTGCTAAAAAATGTATGAACTTTTTATATGATAAATTAATGTAGAATTTGTGTAAAGCAGAATATCAAAAAGCAGAAAATAATAATTTCGTATTTTCCAGGGCATCAGCAGCAACTGCCGGCGGACAGGCGATTATGATTAAAGTCTAAATAAATAAATTTTATTGTGTAGTTTTGCTTTTACTTATTCTGCTAGCTAATGCCAATCCTATGTAAATCAAAAGGTTATTTTGCAGTAAACGTAATGCATAAATTTACTGACTTAATTTTTTGTGGATTTATTACATTGTCTATTGTAAAATATCAGTTGTTTAAGATTTTGTACTTGTGAATTAATTGCATTTATTTTATAATTTTATATTTCACGATTAGTTTTTAGACAACGTCAATTATTTATTTGTAAGACAATAAATATGTTTAAGACTAAAACAAAAAACTATAGATTTGTTTAAATTATTCTAGTTGTAAGTGTTACATTAATATGTTAAGAGTTTAACAAAAGATAGATAATTCACATATCAATCAAATTTAAATTTATACCATCGATTTTGATAATAAAATATTAAAAATTATAAATGTCTTTGTTTCATTTGAAACTTTCCCATTCAGACTTTAGACCCAATATTATATAACAATTATAGATTATTACAAGTTAAGTTTATTAACCCTGCACAAAAAGCGATAATAAAACAATAAGACTAGATTTACATTACCACTAAAAAAGTTGGGTTATGCTAATAAAAAATATTTGTTTATTAATGATATTATATATTTAATAATATAAAACAATTTATCCACGAGAACAAATTTTTCATTTACTTATAATTGAGTAAGAACATCGATCTTCATACAACTATAACAATAATTATTATTGGAATTTAAATTCACATGCATGGTCATGATCACAATATAAAGTAAATATACACTACTTACACCATGTTTATTTATTTAAATAAAACTAGCAAATTAAATATTACTTTTCAGCGCCTGGACGTTTATATTCATTAGCAATTTTTACTATGTTGGGATATTTTTCTTTCAACTTTTCTTTTGCATTCTCAGATTCGCTGCCAGCTGCCAACATTAGGGTCACAAAATCTGAAAATTAAAAGTAAGTAGTTAGTAGTATATACCCATAGAGCAAGGCCGCAGCCAAGAGGGGTGGTGAGGAATTTGATTAACATTAAGAACGTACAGAAATTCTATTTGCCAAGATAGTATCTTGGGTTATTAATATACATGTATTTGCAGCAAAGAAAGCCAGACGACTAAATTTGGTCCTATAATAATAAATTTAAAAAAAAACACTTATTGATATTTTTGTCATTTTCATAAAAACTAAGGATTTAAGCAAAAAAATGTTTATATATAGGCAATGTTTGTAGCTAAGATCTCCCAAAACCTGAGTACCCAATATAGAGACTGGAACCAAATATTACAAAAGGGAAATCAAATACACAAGAAATCACGAGGAGGAAGTCTTGTACAAATGCATCCATACATAAAGTTAGGCAAGGCAAACGCTCCAAGAATAAACAACCCTTTGGATTACCTCCATCTTACTCTTCCATTCTTTAATGGTATATATACACCCTCATTCCAGAATAGATGAAATATTTTTATATTCACAAAAGCTTCCATGTACAAATACTTCTTGATTGTAGGAGATTTTAACGTAAACAGACAAAAAAATCAATTATCAACATTTACACTCTACATACCTCACCTTTTTTATGGCCAATAATACCGATAGTACACCAGATATCATTCTCTATTCTGTAAATTTAAAAAATAACATTGATAAAATAAGCCTTGTCAATGATCTGTGTTCTGATCATCTAGGATTTCTTATAGAAATTAACAATATTACACAATATCCTTACCACGCCCCCGAAATATGGCTATTTGATAAAATCAATATAGAAATTGTCGACAGAAATATGACCAACTTTTTAACATCCAAACCAAATATGGACAGGCTTCACATAGACAACTTTCTTGAAAAAATTCAGTTAGGGTAAATACTCCCAAAAAAGAAATCAAATTTTACACCCAAAAATTACCACCCTTTATCCTAAAATTAATAAAAAGGAAACGAAAACTTTATAGAGTATAACAATCTGGGAGATCCGAAATTAAAAAAATGAAATAAACACTTTTAACAAGAACATTCAAACATTAATTCATCAATACCGAGAACAAAAATGGATAGAAGCTTGTGAAAAAATCCAAGCAAACTATGGAAGAACTTACTGAAAAGAAATTGGTAAATTAACCAAGTATAGGGGCATATCGAACCTGTTCAATACACCTCTGGTGGACAACGGCAGAACATACGAAACAACTAATGAAAAACTTGAACTATTTGCAGATTATTTAGAAGACACCTATAAAGAAAGTATCGATGCAAACTTATGTGCAGTCCATTATAATGAGGTCTCGGAATGGTATGCCAAGTTTACAGCAGAAGATCTTACTTTGACAACTGAAAGTATTACTGAGGAAGAATATTTTGATATCCTCTATAAAGGAAAAAACAGAAAAGTGGAAAACTGGCATAATTATAAACATCCCAAAACCCAACACCAATAAATCCCAAGTAAAAAACTACAACCTATAACTCTCCTGTCAAACTTGGCCAAAACTTTCGAAAACATTTTATGCAACAGAACTACAGAAGCAATAGGACACACTATTCCTCGCTATCAGTTTGGGTTCCAGAAGAATAAGTCAACCATCCATCCTTTGACAATACTTAATAATAATATGCTAACTTCACGTTTGATGGGAAGAAAAAACACGTCATTGTTCCTGGACATCGGCATAAAGGGTTATTATACAAACTGCACCTGCTAAATTGCCCAAACAACACCTAAAAATACTCATGAAATATTTAGATAACCGGAGTCTGCATGCATCAATAAACAATTCAACTTCAAGAAACTTTAAAGCCAAACCAGAACTGCCCCAGGGTTCCCCTCTCTCTCCTCTGCTCTATAACTTTTACTGTGCCGACATCTACAATGAAGATCCTATGCTCTTCGACCAAGATAAATATGTACTTCAATACGCAGATGACACCGTTTTAATTTGCCATAGCAAAAATCGAAAAATCGCCTCCAACTAACTCTAAGTTCTGACAGATCAAACCATGGCATGGTTTAACAAATGGAGACTTAAACCAAATCCACTAAAGTCTTAACTAATACACTTCCATCAAAACAAGATTGACCCTAATATAAAAATTAAGATGTACAATAACATAATAGAGCCAAAATCTAATGTAAAATACTTGGGAATCACACTAGACAATAAAGTCAATTTTAATCTTCACTCCTCCCTGTCAAAGAAGAAAATAGTAACAAGGGCCATCCACTTTAGAGGACTTACATACAACAAAAAAGGCATCAATGATGAAACAAAAAAAGAATATACACCTTAATATGCAGACCAATCCTGGAATATATGGAAGTATCTTAATTAATAACGCTCGTAAACCAGCACTAAGCATTATTAAAACTGGGGAAACCTCATCACTCCGAAAAATCTCCAAAATGAGACATCCAGACAACTCTCTGCAAAACCCTTCCAACGAACTTTTGTATGCTACTTATAATATCTTACCAATCATGGCAAGATTCACCAAACTATCAACAAACTTTATTAGCAAGGACGCTAACTACGACATTCTTAGCGAATTATGTTTGGAAGTACAGGGCAACAAAAAATTTAAGCACCCAGAAAAGACCATATGGGAACTTCTTCAAGAAATAAGAGAAATCAAATTAATTAATTAATTTCAACTTTAAAATTGTTTTTTTACATATGTTCAAGATATGCTCTCCGGCTGAAGGACCTCGGTCAATGGCCATTTGTAAAAACTGTATTTATTTTTTTTGCAATAAAGGTCATTTATTATTAGTATTATTATAGGCAAACAATTTTTGTAAAATATTTTTTTTCATAGGATCAAAATTTTTCGATTAAATTTGAAAAAACCTAATTTATTGAAATAATTTTAACCTTAGGCCACTTGCGGAACCGCAGGACTTATTTTAATTTTGAAAAGTCATATAACTATTTTATTTCTTATAACCATACACAACTTTTTCGCACTATTAAATTTTAATATTCAAATTTTTTTAATTTTTGGCCCACCCTAATTATTAGTAAAAATTCAACAATTTTCAAGTTCAAAGTGTTGTTTCGTAAATATAAATTTTGACATACGCGGTTGTTTTGTGTGCCATTTTGGCAATTTCTTTTTGATTGAGGGTATTTCCATTGTAACGGGTGGCGACACTAAAACTGCGTTTTTTTCATGATAATAAAGTGTTTGTTCATATCAATTTACGTTAATATAAAAAATTAGTATAAAAAATTAGGTATTTAACTCAAACAAAATGTCAATAAAAACTTGTATAGAAAACCTTTTATAACGTCATGAATAGCGTAACGGGCGCAACCTTAAAAAATCGGCAAATGCGACCAAGTTGGCTTCTAAAGTTGATACTGTAAAATTTTGGATGAAAGCATATACGCTAAAGAAGTATCAGGTTTTCGCAACGCGCGCGCCATCTGGTGGACTTCGAATGCATTGCGTGAATTTAAGAATTGTCAACAATAAATTTAAAGCACCGATTATGCATCATTTTTAAATAAATAGGTAGTTTTTTTTACAAAAGAGAGGAATTCAGAAGTTTTACTCGACAAATTTTGTTCAATTGCACAGCTAAATCGCGCACGTTATTTGTGTTTTACGTTGCAAGGAAAAAATTAAAAAACTTTTTAGTACTCGATTTCGATTGATTATTCTTTATATCATTGATTTGTTGTTATTTTGTTAAATAACACATCTGATTTTTTGTTAAGGTGGGGTAAGGTTTCGTGGAAATACCCTTGAGTTAAAATTTTAACACAGTATTTAAATAAAACTACAAAATTTTGTAAGTTTCATTAAAATCCGAAAAATGTTTCGCTTAACAGCCCATTGCAGCAAAAAAGCGTTAAAATAGGTTTTTAAAGGGACTTACTTTATAAATGTATATTATTTATTTTTGGTTTAATTAAATTAGGACTCATAGCTACATGACTAATAACCCTTGGTTAAAGTAGGTATTTTATTAAAAAAATATATATATTCTAATTTAAATGTTTGCATATTGAAAAAATAACTCGAAAACTGCTAATTTGGCAGAATGATGGTCATTTCTGGAATCAGCGCACCCAAATTATCCTAGAAAAGGTGTTGGCTCCCAAGTGGGAACCAAAAAATGACATTTTGTCGACCAGTGTAATTTTAGGTTGACAAAATTTAATGTGGTCAAATTACAATATAGAGGATAGATTGTATTGTCATCCAGTTCTGAACTATGTTTCAAGTTTCTAGCTCATCAGAAAGTTTGTCAGTGCCATAATTTGTACAAACTCTCAAAAAAGCAAGTTAATAAAAATGTCTTTAAAAAGAAAACAATTCTTTATGCCATTACTTTCTTTGAAATAAAAATATTCTTACCATAATATAACATAAATTCGGAATATTCTTCTTCAGACAAATATTGCTTTAGGAAAGTCAAGAGGGAAGACAAGTGTCTACCACTAGCGTGCAACATATTTTGCGTGGCCGTGGTGAATATAACCAGTATGGCAAGATGCAGTATAAGAGCTACATCAGTACATGAATTCAATTTCTCCAACAATTCGTGCTTGTGCGCCAAAATTGTGGTACGGTCCTTTTTCTTGTCGATCTTCTTTATTATCATGCTACAAGCGGCCAAACCTTCCTCAACAGCCGCCATAAAATCATCGACGCTTTGACCCGACAAAGTTTTCGTTAGATTTGCTAGCGGCGTTTTGTACTCCTGAGGTAAATCGTTGATGAACTTCAGTCTTTGATCGTTATTGAAATTTTCATTGACTGGATTTAAATTTTGTTCGGCAGCTACGTAGTTTAGAATCTCCGTCACCACATCGGTACAGTGCGTTTTCAAAAGATATTTGTACAGTTGCGCTTGGCAATCGGCGGGTAATAGTTTTAAGCCCTTCTCGTACAGTCTTATATCACCGACCATTACGTTCAATTTGTTTTGTATTTCGTTGTGAGTTTGCCTTCTGTTGGCAGTTCTGTCTGCTATCGTGGTGGCGTAAATATTACCAGCAATTTCGATACCTTGCTCATTTAGTTTCGGTAACAAATAATCGATTATGGGTTGCATGAGCTCATCTAATCCTTCCTCTTCCAAGGGCATTTGTATGGCGCTGGTCAAATCCTCCTCTGTTAGAATGTTAAGAACGACTTTTTTCTCTTCAAAATCATCAACTTGTTTGGTCGTAGTTCTGCCAGGTTTTTTGGTCGATTTTGTTTTGGTTTCTCTACCCTGGGTACCACCGCCAGTTTTACCGCCTGCGGCCTTTTTCCTGCGCTCTTCCCTTTTGTCGACTTTCTCCTCAACATCGTCAAATTTCAACGACTTATGAGACACCTGCAAACTAGTTTGATATTGTTGGTACTTCCCCGATTCGACGGACTTTTTCGCCTTCTCTTTCACCAATTCATCGCAATCCTTTGAAATCTTTTCGATAAAAGCTTTACTTATTACAAAACAATTAAGCACAAGCGTTTGTTGAAGCTTCTGATTGGTCAAAACTTTATCCAAAACCAACTTGATGTCGTTCTCATTAAAAACAGACGGTAAGTTTGTTTGCAAATCCACGTACGATTTGCTCGATATGCATTCGTCGATGTCTGCCTCGATCCTGTCGAGTATCGACTGATTTACAACGCATGAGTTTAATTGTAGAATTTTCTCGTTGGCGAATTGTTTTTTGATGTAGTTTTTGTAGTCGGAGATTCCGATACGGATTAAGGCGTCGAACTCAACGTAGCCATTTTGTTTGTAGAAGTTTTGAACCCATTCGTTCTGTAACAAAAAAACAAGTTTTGGAATATATACAGTTAAGACCGCAAACAAATTCAAATTTATTTTTCATTCTTGGAACCACATTATACAGGGTGTTATGTAATTAATGTTATATATTAAAATGGGTTGTTCCTTAGGGTCCATAAAGAAGCACCTGAAACTTTTTTTTTCTAAATTCCAAAGTCTAAAAATAATTTATAATAACCTTTATCCTACCAAAAAGTACGCCACTGATCGACTAGGAACTTTAGGTTAATATAGTGGATTTATTATGTTATGGTTGGTAACCAGTGTTTTCAAAATCTCTCAAAAAAGTTGACAAACATTGTTTAAATTTAGCTTAATTACAAAAATGAAAAATTAACAATGCAAATTGTCAATTTGGCGTTTTTATTAATTGTTGGTTATTTCATTTTTGTACTGAAGGTAAATTCAAACAAAATCTGCCAACTTTTATGACAGAATCTAGTGCATTTCTTTTAAATTTTAGGTTATGTTTTCAAATTGTAAATATCTTAACTAAGGGAAGTGCTTTTGGATTTATTTACACAAATTAAATGTTTAAAGTTTAACATGTGAACTGGTCCCAATTTCATCTGAGTAAACAGAGAAAAAAACTGATGAAAAAATTAATTTTGTGGTTATGGATTTCAAATTTCAAAGGTACTAAATTTTCTAATCATTGCTTAAGCTAATAGCTGGATCAGTAAATAAATACAGAAGGGTATTAGAGCTTTAAGGGCATAAAACTTTTGTATTTATTGAGTTTTTATTTATTTTTTGCAAGAAAAATTTTTAGTAACAATTTTTTACATCTGGCAACGCATAGCTACTTTGTTGGTTGGTATCTATGTACTCACAAAATACAGGTGTGCAGAGATAAACAAGTGTGTAACCAGTGGCGTATCACAAAAAATATAAAAAACTTCTAATGCATATTTTTTCTTTATCTTTGGAAAAATGTTTTTTTAAATATTTTTTCTTTATTCCTTATGTAAAAAGGTATTCAGTATTTTAATATATAACATTAATTACATAACACCCTGTATACAGTACAAGTATAATAAATAAATTAAATAAAACATGATTAATGGTAAACATTATTTTAAAATGCGTTGACTGATTTTAATATATTTTTTTAGTACATAGTGCTTGAAAGTGTTTCGTCATGTGGAAGAGTTTTACATTTTCATTTTTTCAAGGCCTGCAAGGATCTGCTAAATGGGTCAAAATTTAGAGATCGACCATTAGGCATTTTTTTTTCGAAAATATAAATAGCGCATTCGTTTCAGACGTGCCTTAAATACCTTTATAAAAAGTTTTAGCTGAATACCTTAGCTCACTGCATAGCAGTTTTTTTTTACTTTTCAACTAATATGCAAACAAAAAAGGTAAAGTATTTAGTCGACATAGCCATGTCAGATATCTAATGGGAAGATTTTGGAGACGTAATCCCTCCGAAACTTAAATAAAAACGAATATTCTGAAAAGAAATCTTGACTTATTTTTATATTTCTATACTTTAAAATTTGACTCAAATACTCAAACTTTGTATAAAGGTATTTGAGGCACGTTTGAACAAAATGAGCTGTATATATAAAAAATATATTAAAATCGGTCAACGCGTTCCAAAATAATTAACATTTTTGGGGCAATATAAATTTCCAATGCTAATCAGCTTTTACCAATTTATGTTTTGAAAGTTTTATACTAAATTATAAAAAAATTTAATTATTATTATTCAGACTGCCAATTGAAAAAACTTTTTTATTATGAGTTTTACAAGAAAATTCATTCTTTATTAAGTCCAAAAATTATAAAAATCATGAAAGTGCTCCCAGAGAGAAATAAATTTATTTAATATTTTATAGACAAATTTTATAAGATAAAGTCATTGAAAATTCAATTGAAAGTCAAAATTCAAAATATTTTTATTTTATTTTAACATTTATTTTGTTTTATTTATTTATTTTATTAACTAGTTAAATAATTTATTATTTCGTATTTAGACTTAAAATTAAAATGTCAACAAGTTTATATATATATATATATTATATAATATAATATAATATAATATAATTTTAATTATTATTATTCAGACTGCCAATTGAAAAAACTTTTTTATTATGAGTTTTACAAGAAAATTCATTCTTTATTAAGTCCAAAAATTATAAAAATCATGAAAGTGCTCCCAGAGAGAAATAAATTTATTTAATATTTTATAGACAAATTTTATAAGATAAAGTCATTGAAAATTCAATTGAAAGTCAAAATTCAAAATATTTTTATTTTATTTTAACATTTATTTTGTTTTATTTATTTATTTTATTAACTAGTTAAATAATTTATTATTTCGTATTTAGACTTAAAATTGAAATGTCAACAAGTTTATATATATATATATATATATTATATTATTGCTGAGTATGTAAAATTACCTATGTTGTAATTTTTAATTTTTAAATAAAAAATTGTAAGTTATTCCATTGCATACTTCTTAATATAAAATTTATATTAAGGAACCACTAAAATTTAATAAATGATGATGTGATTATAAGAATTGTTTTGGGAGCCATTTAATGGCTCTCAAAACAATTCTTATAATCACATCATCATTTATTCATGTAAAAAATCAATTAGGTAGCTAGATTATAAAAAAATAAAAAATTCCAATTGTCTATGTGGAAATGAGAAATTTTCATATTTTTTTTATTTCAAATAACAAAAAAAATATGATTCTGTCTGTGCTGGGTAGACAATTACGGGGTTCCATAACGGGCAAAAACGTGATGACCCTTATTATTTTTGCAACTTTAAAAGCATAAACAACCAACATTTTTTTAGCACAACTAATTTGACAGAAAAATAAAATCTGACAATAGTTTGACAACATTTATTGGTATACAAGAAGTGCTTATCCTAGACTATTTCCCTCGTCTTAATTTCCACCAATCACAAACGCGCAATTTTGAATTACAAATGGTTTCTATGTGAAAAAACTGTGTGACAGCACCTGTCAGCAGTTTTTTCGAGTTAACCCGCGGCAAAACTTGACAGCTGTTGTCACCAAAAATTGCAATTTATATTTTAATTGTTAAATGTTACTCATGAAATAGTCTTGTCAAATACCATTAGGGCATCTAATTTTTCCTGTGAAAAAAATCGAAAAAACACAATGCTAAGTAATATTTTTTAACAAAAAGCATTTGTGCAGGTGCAAAAATCCTCCTCTTCGACTCGGATTTTTGTTACCACCAGCACTCATGCTTTTTGTTAAAATATCAGCAACGTGTTTTTTCGATTCTTTTCGGAAAAATTAAATGCCCTTATGATATTACTTACGACTATTTCCCTCCTCTTAATTTCCCCCAATCACAAACGCGCAATTTTGAATTACAAATGGTTTTTAGGTGGAAAAACTGTATGACAGCACCTGTCAGCAGTTTTTTGACAGCTGTTGTCACCAAAATTGCAATTTATATTTTAATTGTAGGTACCATAAATAATTAAGTTTGTAGTATTTTGTGATTAAATAAATAACCTATTTTTCAGTTTTTAAATTAATACCTACATATTTATTATGTTTGTATGTATAATAGGTAGTATGTTTTGTAAGCTATGTGTATGCAGAATAACTGTTACTCATGAAATAGTCTTGTCAAATACCATTCGGGCATCTAATTTTTCCTGTGAAAAATACCTCCTCTTTGACTCGGATTTTTGTTGCCACCAGCACTCATGCTTCTTGTTAAAATATTACTTACCGTGTTTTTTCGATTTTTTTCGGAAAAATTAGATGCCCTTATGATATTAATTACGATAAAAACATGCTTGGTGTTTCTTTTGCTACTGAAATAGTTTCTTCCTGGATTGGTAATCATGTAAAAGGTAAATAACAATTATTGTTATTACAAATTGTTTTTTGTGTAAAGTATTCAATTTTTGTTTTAAAACATGTTATAAAATTTTGATTAATAAAAATAAACTAAAAATTGTAACATTTGTAAATAGGATTATAATAATAATAAGCTAATTTACTTCTTTAAAAATACTTTTTTTATTTTTAATTGCAAAACTACTCTTACCTGTGATCTTGCATAAACATTTGGAATATACTGAGCACCAGCAAGCCTACTCGTCAAATTACCATACATGGAAGTTTGATCAAAGAGACTAAAAAATAACTTTTCTGTTATATCAATTTGTGCCAATATAGCTGCCACTGGTGTTGGCCTGGTTAAGCCACCAAGAGCACCTCTTATCCTAGCTTTACACCTTGCAATAAACGACTCAGTAAAAAATATCCTAGGATCATTTTTGTCTTGTTTTCCAAAAATTAATTTGTCCAGATTTTTTTCAATTGTTTGCTGCAGAAACTCTGCTGGCAAGTCATACTGTATGGTTAATTTGCTAACATTGATTTGTCCTTGTTGTATTAACTTTTCATTTATTTCACCTGCTATTTTTGTGATGTAGGAAGAATCTATTAATTGACCAAGAACAGAGTGGATGTCTTTTTGGCCTTTTAAAACATCATTTATGTGGGCATTAATGTGTGCCAAGTCAACGCCTATGAGTTTGGCTAAATCCACGAGATTTATTCTGCCCCCATTTACATACAATTCTGACTTAATGTCTTGCACAAGCTGTGAAGGTGTAAGATATTCCTTTCCATCACTTGTAAAAATCAAGTCTATCATTTTCTTTTCTAGAAGCCATGATACAATCTCAATACAATTACGTTCTGACAATCTAAAATTTAATTTTGAAAATCTACAGCAAATTAAATAAATATTCTTACTTTTGTGTTGTGGAACTGAGTTGCACTTTTTGGAAATCTGCTGCCAAACGCTTTACTTCTTCCCAGTCAGCCATTGTAAATTAAATACACCTAAATAGAAGACTTTAGGGGTAATACTTATAATAATTGTTGGACTATATTAACTTGATTTAAAATTTAAAAAAATCCAATCCATATGGTTAACCATTGAACTAGTTGTCAAAATAAACGTCACTTGACTGCGCAATATCAAAATTTCACTGGAACAAATTTCTTAATAGAAATTTCTTAATAATTCATTAATATTTTTAAACTATAATGTTAATAAAAAGTTAAAATGCATTAACTTTTAGACATAATCATCATGTTTAAAGTTTTTTTAATATTAAAAATAAAATATTTTAACCGTTAACTGGGTTGCCTATATTAAGTATTGATAAATAGAGGGTGTCCCGAGAATGGCTCACTAACCGTTAGTCTAGCGTCAAACCACGCAACAATAATTGTAATTTTTACAACAATTATTGTAAAAATTTCAAAAGGACAACGATCCAAAGCATACGGACGATCACTAAAACGTTGCTTTCAATAAAAAATGTCAAATCTATGGCCACCTCAATAACCTGATTCTTGGCCCAAGGGTAAGGTGACCAACTTTCTAAAATGAAAAACCAGGACACAACATGCCCCTTCGTCTCCCTTCCAAAAAATAAACAAAAAATGTATTTTATTCAATGTTTATTATTTGAAAAAAAGATGTGCCAATAAGGTCAATAATAAAAAAATTATTCTAAAGGTACTCCCGAAAATTCAGATTTTTAAATTAATTTTTAACCTGCGCCCCGACCACTTTTAATAAAAAAATTATAAGAAATCCTAAAAAAGTGGTAAAAACTCATAATTTTTTTAATTTTTTTTTAAACAACGTTTTTTCATAATTTAAAAAAAAATTCAAACGAGGTTTTTTATTACTTTTTTACTATCCTGAAGGTACTCTACCAAAAATTCAGATTTGTATTTGTATATAAATTATAAATTTATTTAATTTAAATTAATTTTTAACCTGAGCCCCGACCACTTTAAAAAAAAATTAGAACAAATCCTAAAAACGTGGGACAGCCTCATAATTAAAAAAAAATTCAAACGAGGTTTTTTCCTATTAATTTTTAACCTGAACCCCGACCAATTTTAAAAAAATAATAGAACAAATTCTTAAAAAGGGAGAAAAAGTCATACTCTTTTTACAAACGATGTTTTTTCTTACTTTTTTACTCTTCTAAATGAATTTTAAATTAATTTTTAACCTGAGACCCGACCACTTAAAAAAAAAATATTGCTACTAACGTAAATCAAATATTAGAAACATTTTTCAACACCGTATCACCAAAGTTGTCCTTTTTAAATTTTTATCCTTTGTAATAAAAGTAAAATAAAACTCTGCAAAACATTTTTGAAAGTCATAGTCAAAACCTACTTTTAGCCACATAAAATTATTATAAGTCCGGTCGACAAATTTTTTAATGTGGATTTTTTTTTATTTTATCCTTTACAATACATAAATAATATTATTTATAAAAGGAAAATATAACTGCAATACATTTTTAAAGGCCATTTAATCAAAAATATGGCCGATATATTTTAAATCCTATCGACAATTTTTTTAATGTGGATTTTTTATTTTTTATAATAAATTAGTTATAAAAGTAAAATCAAACTCTTCAATACATTTTTAAAGCCATAGTATCAAAAATATGAGCGAAATACACAAAACCCACTTAAGTGAAATATTTCAAACTACGTTGGAGAATTGTATTGCTAGAAACGTTGTAACAACGTTCCAAAACCCACATTTACAAAAAAAAATAGCTAAATAAAAGTATTCCCGCCAGGGCCGTTCCTGGCGAGCGTGCAGTGCGTGCACGCACGCAGGCGCAACATTTTGGGGGCGCAAAATCAAAGAGTCAATCAGTACTTTGTAACCATAAACTTTCTTGCGACAATTTTAAATAATAATAAGCTGTTAAATGTCCGAAATACAAATTGCTTTTTCACTTTGAAAACTAGTCATTTTTGACTAATTCATTTTTAGAGAGTAGGTACGTAACTAAAAACCAGTTTTAGTTATTATATTGTTTATATGTTTTGTTTTCTTTTGTTTGTTTGGTAATTTATTAAGCAGCTTTTTTACATTTTCAATTACATATTGCCAGTTTGTTGCAGAATATATATTTTTTAAATTTTAGGGCTTTAAATTAAAATATTTAATGTATTATATTTAAATATAAAAGGGGCGCACCAAAGAATGCTGCACGTAGGCGCCAGACACCCCAGGAACGGGCCTGATTCCCGCCGACAAATTTTTTAATTTGAAGTTTGGAAAAAAATAGTGTAAAATAAAAAATAATATTCAAAATTAATAAATTTATTGTCCATGTTTTAATTTTACATCTTCTTTTTCAATAGTTTCAATAAAATAAAATTTTACTATCCTAGTTTGGTCACCAAACTTTGGTGATACATATGTATATGGAACAACAGAAGTTACACAGAACAAACGAGCAAAAATTCAAATTTACCTCTCTATCACGAAGTGTTTATTTTATTTTGGGTTAAGTGTCGACATTACGAAGGTGTAGAAGGGACATTTACACAAAATATATTTTTATTATTTAATTCTGCGTTAGGTAACACAGAATTAATTCCCCCCATTTAATTCTGCGTTAGGTAACACAATTAATTCCTTCCATTTAATTCTGTGTTAACAAACACAGAATTAATTCCCTTTCATTAAATTCTGCGTTAGGTAACACAGAATTAATTCCCTCCCATTTAATTCCGTGTTAACTAACACAAAATTAATCCCTTCCTATTTAATTCCGTGTTAACTATCAAAGAATTAATTCCCTCCTATTTAATTCCGTGTTAGGTAACACATAATTAATTCCCTCCCATTTAATTCAGTGTTAACTAACAAAGAATTAATTTCCTTTCATTTAATTCTGCGATAGGTAACACAGAATTAATCCCTTCCTATTTAATTCCGTGTTAACTAACACAGAATTAATTCCCTTCCTAATTAATTCTGTGTTACCTAGCAGAATTAAATGGGAGGAAATTAATTCTGTGTTACCTAACGCAGAATTAAATGAAAGGGAATTAATTCTGTTACCTAACGCAGAATTAAATGGAAGGAATTAATTATGTGTTAGTTAACACAGAATTAAATGGAAGGAATTAATTGTGTTACCTAACGCAGAATTAAATGTGGGGAATTAATTCTGTGTTACCTACCCTTGCGGCCTTGAGTTCACGGTTTATTTACCGTGAATTCACTGTGAATTCACCGTAAACTCACCGTGAATAAACCGTCTGTTTGTGACATTTGTAAACGGTAGTTAGACGGTGAATTCACGCACTTTTCACAGTATTTTAATTGTGAATCCACCGTATTTTGGCGGTATATTCACGGTGAATTCACAGTGAATTCACGGTGAATAAACCGTGAACTAAAAGGCCGCAAGGGTAGGTATATCCTATAGGTTTAACACGACTATAGCTAGCCATTATTCGTTACTGAGCAGATGAGGATTAATGTTCAGCTATGCCATTACAGACGCACACTTCCAACTAAATATTGCAACCCAACGCTATTTATAGTTAGCTCGCTTGCGTAAGCAGCCGTGAGATGTATTGAGTTTACCGTGAATTTACCGTGAATTAACCGTGAAATCACCGTGAATTTATCGCAAAAACAGCGTGAGTTCACCGTTTAATTACCGTCTACAAATGTCACAAATATACGGTATATTCACTGCACATAAACGGTGTATTCACGGTGAATTCACGCAAACGGTGAATTCAAGGCCGCAAGGGTATAGGTAACGAGTTATAACTCGGAATTAAATGTTAAAAATAAATTTTGTGTAATTGTCCCTTCTACGCCTTCGTAAAACTACTGTTTTTTGCTGTTATTTTTATCTATCACAAAATTAAAGTTGATATTTCAATAATAAAAGTATACTGTTTGAAAAACTACCCCAAATGAGTCATTAAGCATAAATAATAATATAATCTAAATTTAGACCTTCTATATGAAATTTTTTAAAAAACCCAGAGCGAGTTGTTTGCACATATGTGCAAATAGTGGGCGCGATCGAGTACATACTGGAATGTTAATAATATTAATTAAATATTAATAATATTATTAACTTAATATAAACATATTAAATAAACTGGTGTGTATATAACGATATAAATCAAATGTAGGTAGCCTATTCTTACACAGCAAACGAAAAATTATAGAAGTGTATAGGATGACTCCGCGTTTGAATATCAAATCTTAAAGTTTTATCATAACTGTATTGAATCGTGCTTTGTTTTTATATTTTTCGGCTCTATACCTATGCACGACTATATTTAAAGTCAAACTCAATGGTGTCTTACAAGATACATTATTTTGATTTTCTATATTCAACAGAGGAGTAGAAACTCGACCCTGTCGAATGGTGCAGTCATATATGTCTCTAGAAATTATTAAAAAAGGGTTCAGTCCAATGGTGCAGCAACTTCGGATTCCTATTCTCCTCAGAGACATAGAAACTCAAGCTTTTCGAATTTTACTGGCAATGATTTTCGTTAATGTCCCCGAGAATTATACAAAAACAGCGCAATGCAATATCGCAACGGTTTCGACTTCTCTTTACTCTACCAAGTTATAGAAACTGGAGTCTCTCTAATACTGTTCTAGTCAATATTTCTGAGAGTATAAAAAGAGGGTGTAATATTGCAAGAAGTTTTGATCTTTTGATGGATGAATTTTCTCATTTCTCCATATGATTTTGTTGAAAATAGTTCCTTTCTTTGGTTCCTTTGTCTGATTTTTATTTACCGTAACAACTCAGGTATGTAAAGCACAGAGGATATGATGTTAAGTATATTTACACTGAAAAAAAATATTCTTGATTCAAAACAATCTTTGTCTCATATATAACGAAGAGAATATATTCTTTAAAATAGTAAAGTATTTTCTTAATTCACGTTGATTTACTTCAAGAATATTTTCTTAATGTAAGAACATTAAGAAAAGATTCTTGAAGTAAATCAACGTGAATTAAGAAAATACTTTACTATTTTAAAGAATATATTCTCTTCGTTATATATGAGACAAAGATTGTTTTGAATCAAGAATATTTTTTTTTCAGTGTATGTATTATATAAAGTACCTATATTTGTATTAAAAATTTAAGAGGTTATGTTGAAAAATGATCGATATGCTATTAAACTTTAATAATTTAGTAATTAGGTCTGTTGGTAGACCCTGCACTATCTTCACTGGTATAGTTTTGTAATATTTAAATCTGGTTGATGAAAAAGTACACACCAGTGCAGGTTATTGTAGCATCTACGAACAAATGAATTAATGGCCCATTGGCAATTATTCCTTTAGGAAAAATATTCAACACAGCTTAATTAATTAATAAAATGAAAAAAATCACAATCATGTCGTATATAGTTTTTTTTAAGCATAAAATAATTTTTATATTAAAACTAGTTCAAAAGTGAAATTACGACCTCTATACTGTGGAGAGTATTGAAACGCTCGACTGACGAATACCACTCTATACCGTAGGGAGATTTAGAAATCGATATTCAAACGTGGCGTCATCCTATACACCTCTATAATTTTCCGTTTGCTGTGTAAAATAAAAATGTGTAAATTCGTTAAAAAAATCGTTTTGTTAAGTCGGCGCACTTCCACGTTTTTTCCCTCCATAAAATTAAGATAAACATTAAAATGTGTTTATTGTATCGTTAAAATTTACTATGTTTTGGACAAATGTGTTTCCTATGTACAAAAGCTGGTCGTGGACTGGCGCGCCGGTAGTTTAATTTGGAAGCTGCCTTACTTAAATTTACTTAAAAATCGCGTTCGACACGTCATAAAACCGATCACCGGCATTTCATATTTGGTACTATCTTAACAGTAACTCTCTCAGTCGTTGCGATTGGCTCGGGCTGTACGTAAGCTGTGATATCAGAACCGTGTCAAAAGATAAGTGTTTTTACATTTTTTGTTTTTAATATTTTTTCACTGTGTGCTGACTGACAACTGGTGCCAAAATGAACGAACCATACAATTTGGACTCGCTGATGGCCAAACTAGGTGAGTTTTTTATATTATAAAACAGAAGAAAACTATAACTTAGGAACGTTTGTCATTGTAGATTATTAAGGTATTCTTATTCATAAAAAATTATAAATAGCAAAATTTTAATGAAAAGATAGGTAGGTACCTGGATTATTAAAATCAATATAATAATCTAAATAAAAATCAATTTTCCCTGAAAAAAACGTGTTTGATTTTTTTTAAATTAATATATTCAAATTAATTCATATTCCTGCATATTGTGAATTAAAATTAAAATTTAATTATTAGAAATAGATAATGGGCACATGCTTATTGTTACAAACATAACAGTTTTATAAACTTAAAAAAAATTTAATTATTTAAATTGTTTTTAGTGGCAAATAAATAAAAAGAAAAAGAAAGAAAATTTTAAGTATACGTTCACAGAAAAAAATAATTACATATTATCAATGTATGCCAAACATTGACCAATATTTTATTAAATTAATGTAGTTATACTTAAATAAAATGTATAAATACATTAATAGAATGTTTAAATTTTATAAGCTCATGACCACGTACATTGATATTATGTATAGCATACATTAATATAATGTACAATTTTACATAATATCAATGTATTAATACATTAAATTCATGTAAAAATACATTTAACTAAAGTATATATACATTAACTTTATCCAAATCATTAAAAAAAAAACGTACATTATATTAATGTATAAATACATTAACCAATGTTTCAGGTTTATTAATTGATGTTTTTAATACATTATATCAATGTATAAATTCATTAATCAAGGTAGATTGTTCATTATTCAATAAATTAATACATTGTATTGATGTGCAAAGTTATAAACGCCTACAGAGTATTAATTATATAGCTTCCCGCTTTACTAGCCAACAGTGCAAGGACGCATTTGTTTCTGTTCCAGAGCCCACACCCTAAGAAAAAATTGAAATTATTATTCTTTTGTGTTTGTGAGTCGAATCAGGTGGTTATTGTAAAAGTAAAAAGCAGATAAATAGAAAAAAAGGTAAGGAATATCACTTATTAATAATTATTAAGTATTAAGTAATATAATATATGAAAATAACACTTTACGTTAAATGAGGCCACTTTTTATCGAAATTACCTTAGATGCTTGTGAAATAATATTATGTTGCTATTGTTTCAGATGCGCGAGATGCTACAATTTTTCTGGTAATCCATGGCAATCCAACTGGCAAAATAGTCAGAAAAGATAACACAGAAAAAAACGTGACAACTAAATTTACGATAAAGGATTCACAAGACGCATTTCTGTACCTCTCACCCACTTTGGAGGAGTTCGAGAAGCATCTTGATCATTTAAAAAAAAAGCAAGTCAATGCACAGCAGTTTTATTTATTTTTTGGATAGGAAAGGATGAGGTAAACATTAAAGAAATTTATCTTTATTTTGATGGTGTCCGATATAAATTTTTTAGTGTATTAACTATGGTTTCGCGTAAAAATCGAACAAATTTTGGACATTTGTTTGCAAGTGATGCCAGAATTAAATATATTTTTGTTACCTTGTTTGTACATCTAAATGGTACTTTTTTTTCAAAAAAAAAAAATTTCATCCATTGACCCCTGTGGTTTTCAGGCCTTAAGTCACTCTACTGTGTTAAAAATAGATAAATTTCGATATTTTGTAATAACATTTTTATTTAAAAACGTATCGATTTGAAATTAAGATAAAATGTAGACCTTATTAGTGGCAATAAATCCACGTATTATTTTTTTTAGATTTTAATATACAGGGGGCACGGTGAAGAATTTAATTTAAAATTTTACCATTTTTTAAGGGTTAAAAAGTCGAAGAAGCAACGTTGTTTTATAATTTTCAGTATATCACGTTAAAGTACTGATAATTAACTATTATTTGATATATAAACTTCTAAATGCAAATTATGTTTTTACGAGAGACACCATTTTTAAGGTAAGCCTTCAAAGAGCGTAATACTAACGTGTTTTACAAATTATAAATTCTTTTAACTAGTTTTATAAGATAATGTATTATATTGCATACAATATTTTATATATAACATACAATTCTTACATATTTATTTAAAAAAATCGCCATAGATGGAGCTAAAATTAGTTTTATTTATAAATTTTAAATTTTTTTAAGTTTATCAAAATTAGTATACTAATTTTGATCATAGTAGGCATCACAGACTTATCTCTATGGTAACCTAGTAGGTTACCATAGAGATAAGTCTGTGATGCCTAGATGTAGGTTAAACCTACCATTGGAAGCATGAAAGATAATTTAACAGTTCAGTTTATATGTTGCAAATGACTGATTGCGTTTCAATTTATAAGTGTACTATAAACTTAAAATATTAATTTAATAAAATGAATACACTAAATAATAAGTATAGACAGTATCAGCAAGTTAGAAATTATAAGCTACTTTAATTTTATTTTTTGCTCCACAACCAAGCTTCAATTTATGTTTTACTCGATAAACAAGCTTCAATTTTAATTCCTAACTGAGGAAAGTAATATTTACCCAATAAATAAATTAGAATAAAGACTTTTTATGTTGCAATCGGCTATTTAGATATACCTATATTTTTATTCATTTGTTTTTCGATTTTTTGTAATTAGTTATTTTGCATTTGCAATATAATGCTATACAGGGTGTTTCTGGAGAAAGGCAAACGGTATGGATTTGAAATTTTAATAGAATATACAATTTGATTTAGACTATACATAAAGTCAATAGTTTTCAAGATATTAATTTTTTTCTTTAAAATGCACGTTAATCAAAATAGCCTCTAATTTGTTTGTTGACATGGGGTTGGAAATTTTGGAATATTAAAACATTGTTTAGTTTTTTAAAGGTTTTTCAACAAATACCTTGAGAAAAACCACTTGAAATTAGGCGAAATTCAAACAATAACAACGTTTTTATTATAAATGTAAAACCCTGTATGTTTTAACATAATCAAATAGAACATTAAAGAATCTTTTAATTGGTATTATAGTAACTCTTTCCTAAAGTTAAAATTTCAGAGACATTTAACAATTTCTAATATTTTCAATACTATTTTGTATCAACAAACCTCTGAAATTCTACATGTGGTTTAATGTAACAGTATCCATGGTTACCACCAAATCTGTCATTGTTTAAAATTAATTAAAATATTTGATTGAAAAAATAATAACTCAAAAAATATTGACTTTAGGTATAGGATATGGTATAGCCATTTTACTCAGAATTTTATGTAGAATTAGATAATGTAAAAATATATGAGGTATTCCGGTAAAACAGGAAGTATTATTTTGTTTAAAATAATTTAGAAAAAGAGTCTAAAGCGAATACTTTACGCTATTAAAATTTTAAATCGATGTCTTTCGCGATTCCCTAGAAACTTCCAACGGACTAAGTACGTGAAACACCCTGTATATTAAACGTCATTTATGTGTTATGCTTTACTTAATTATTAATAAAAGATAAAACAATATTTGTATAAAAATGACAAAATGTACTAAACTAAGCATTTATGAATACTGCTACTGCTAATTCAAAACTGATCCTGGCCACAGAAACATCATTTGCATAAAAAAGTTAATATATCAAATAATAGTCAAATATCAATACTTTCAGGTGCTATACTCAAATTTATAAAACAATGTTGCTTCTTCGATTATTTACCCTTTAAAAATTGTCAAATTTTAAACTAAATTATCACCAGCGCCCCCTGTACGTTATAATCTAAACAAAATTTTTGCATGGATTAATTGTCATTAGTAAGATCTACATTTTGTCCAAATTTCAAATCGATACGTTTTGAAATAAAAAAGTTATTTAAAAAAAATGAAATTTCTTCATTTTTAACACAGCGAAGAAAAAAATTAAAATAAAAACAAAGTTGTCAATGGACGAGATTTTTTTTTTGAAAAAAGTACTGAATTAAGATGTAGAAATAAGGTAAAAAAGTTTCAATCGATTTCTTGAACCCTTGCAAATCGACCGTTCGATCCTTTCGCGAAACCGTAGTTAAGGGCAGTAGATATTTGCTTTAAATGTATTTATTTGTTTAATTTAGATTTTCCGCCCGAATCAGTAATGATTTATAATTTCTTAGAAACCTTTTTTTTTATTTAAAACGACAAACAATTTTGGTAAAGTTCATTTATTAAAAGAGTATTTAAATAAAAAATCTAATATGTATAAAAATGTGTTTTTTTCCTCATCCAAAAACACCCTATACAGTGCGTTTCACAAAAGATTGGCGGTCTTAGGAATGTGATGCAATTCTTCATTTCTGTATAACGGCCAACTCTTTATTGATATCGGGATAGGGTTTATTGCATACGTTTGCCTGCAACGGCTGCAAATATATGGAAAACACTAGCATTATTATTATAATTAAAAGTTGGCCGTTATATAGAAATAAAGGATTTCATCACATTCCTAAGACCGCCAATCTTTCGTGGAACGCACAGTCAATTATAACAATATATAGTTATATCAATGTATATGGTACATTATATCAATGTACAGGGTACATTATATCAATATACAAGATGCATTATATCAATGTACAGGGTACATTATATTAATGAATAAGGTACATACTATAAATGTATGACATACATTGACCAATGTATACTGTTACATTATATCAATGTACTCTTCATTGTTCAATGTAATTTGTAATGCATTAATGAAACATTTACATTATAATAATGTATTTGTGCATCGGCTCTATTTTAATGTGCGCATACATTGTCACAATATTAAAATACATTAATATTATGTACTTTTTTTTTCTGTGTTATGATAATGTTTCTAAAAAAATAATTTAAAAAAAAGTCCCGCGGTCTGTTCCTACCCCTAACCCGCAAAAGCCATTCAATTAGCTTCTGGATCTTCTATAAAAGTAAAGATAAAACTAACTAGATCAATTAAAAATAAATTAAATAGTTAAAATTAGTGACTAAAATGGCGTTTATATTAATATATCATATACTATTGT